AAAACAAATGCCAAATGTCTTCTTTGATATAAGGAGTGTAACTAAGAACAGAGTAGGGACGAAGAGCATGAGAACAAGATTAACATTAAACTGGGATGAGAGGTGGGAGGGAAAGGGAGAGAGAAGGGAAATTGCATGGAAATGGAAGGAGACCCTCAGGGTTATACAAAATTTCATACAAGAGGAAGTGAGGGGAAAGGGGATAATAATACAAGGGGGAGAAATGAATGACAGTAGAGGGGTAGAGAGAGAAAAGGGGAGGGGAGGGGAGGGGGGATAGTAGAGGATAGGAAAGGCAGCAGAATACAACAGACACTAGTATGGCAATATGTAAATCAATGGATGTGTAACTGATGTGATTCTGCAATTTGTATACAGAGTAAAAATGGGAGTTCATAACCCACTTGAATCAAAGTGTGAAATATGATATATCAAGAACTATGTAATGTTTTGAACAACCAACAATAAAAAATTTAAAAAATATATGAAACAAACTAAGAGAAACATTAAAGAACTAAAGGGTAGTTTGGTATGTCTGTGTGCTTTAATGGCTTGGGGAATGTAGCAGTTGGTTTTCACTGTGTGAGAAATTGTTCTAATACTTAATGTTTTCAACAACAGTGAGTTGTTTACTAATCTATGGATCAGCTGGGCAGTTTGCTGATCTGAGCCAGACTTGGCTAAATTGGACCAGGCTTCCTTATGTTTGCAGCCAGCTTGGGGAGGGGGAGAGTAAGTAAAAGCTGCCTGGCCTATGATTGGTCTCATTTGGTCTACTAGGGCAATGGAGGACTCTCTCCACATGGTCTGTCATCACCCAGCAGGCTAATGTGGACTTGTCACATTGTAGCAACAGGGGACTAGAAGAGAAATGCTTCTTGAAAGCTTAGGCTGGAACTTCCACCTTTTCTATTGGTCAAAACAAGTTATAAGGCCAGTCCTCATTCAAAGAGAAGGGAAGCATCCTGATAGGGATGTACAGCCAAATCCCATGACAGAGGAGCATGGCTGAAAGGAGGAATGAAGGACCAGACCACATTTCCAATCTACCTCAGGGCAAGCAAAAGAGAATCATTCTATTAAGTCCTTGTGTTTTTGTTCTCAATCATGTAAATGCATCAAGACTTTATCACCCTTGCCCTTACTCCTCCTTCCCTTTCTCCCTGGCAGGTAAAAAGGAATAGTCAGTTTAGTAATGTGGTTGGGAGCAAAAATACAAGGATTTAATAGGGTGTTTCTACTGCATTTTGCCCAGACAGAAAAAGCAGTCATAAAGTCATAATCTTCCTCCTTGGTCTTCTCCTAGGATAGAAGTCAGCAGTTTTACTGCTTAGGGCTCTTAACTGTTCTTGTAGTGAGAAACTCTTCGCATTGCATACAACTACCAAAGTGCATTTCAGAAACAAGATCACCTCCCTCCTGTACCTAACTAGCAATAACTTTCTTACTGTCTATAGCCACTTCTCCACAATGATGATAGGAGACACAATGCAAGCCTGAAAGAGGAGCACAAACCTCAAATGCATTTCTACTTGACGTTCATTATCCCAGCAAGAACCTGAGTCTTTCTTGGGATTTTTTTTTTTTAAGCATCAGATCTGACCTGTCATTCTCAAACTACATAAAAACATCCCTGTAATAAAAAGCATTTTGCTGAAACCTATGGCTTATATACTTTTATTCTCCCCTTAATCAAGTAGTAAACATCAGCATGGCCCTGTTGAGATTGAGATAAGCCATATAATTATATCTATCAGCAGACTGATGCTTGCAGGCCAACATCTGAATAAAGAGATTTTCACTCTTACTAAATCATCATCTTTACAGTCATAGGCTATTCAAGGCAGAGTTGCTTACTGTGCTTCCCCTGCAGGAAGCACCTAAGGTTCTTTACAAAAGAATGTGCCACACCACATACCATCAAATGATACCCTATTCCATTTCTAAAGCACAAAAGACAAGATAAGGGGGCTGGGGATGTGGCTCAAGTGGTAACGCGCTTGCCTGGCATACACAGGGTGCTGGGTTCGATCCTCAGCGCCACATAAAAAAAAAATAAAGATGTTGTGTCCACCAAAAACTGAAAAATTAATATTAAAAAAAATTCTCTCTTAAAAAAAAAAAAAAAGATAAGATAAGACCTTGAACTTCAGTTGAAAGTTCATGGTTCCTATAGTCCCCCACAACCCACCTAGCAAGCAAGTTTGTCAATGGCTTTGTAACTTCATCTTGAAAGGCATACCCAGCTCTATGTTGTTCATGCAGGACATGGCCAGCAGGGGAAGAGCACTGGAAGGCTGCATAATGGAAGTTGAATTTGAACTGTCTTTGCTTCCTAGGTCCAACATAGGACCCCATCAACTCATGGTGTGGAATACTTCCAATCTGAGTCATGACAACCAACGAAAATACATCTTTAGTGATGAGGGAGGACAAAACCAGCTGGGTATTCGGACCCACCAAGACATCCCTCTCCCTCCAAGAAGAAGAGAGCTCCCTGCCTCACTGACCACCAATGGGAAAGCCGACAACCTCAACGTAGCTCGGAATTCAGTGATGCAGGAACTCTCAGAGCTGGAGAAGCAGATTCAGGTGATCCGCCAGGAGCTACAGTTGGCTGTGAGCAGAAAAACGGAGCTGGAAGAGTATCAAAGGACAAATCGGACTTGTGAGTCCTAGGCGATCAGGCTGCCCTCCTCCCCCAACTCCTGGCTTTCCTGAGCCCTTGAGATACTTTGTAATGCTCTTTTGTAAGGATTGACAAAGGTGAGGGAAACCAAGATCTAGGTCTTCTAGGGGTCAAGTCAGCTCTCCCCAGATTAACATGCGGCAGTGATTCTTTTTCCAAACTCACCCCCTAGGTCTCCAGGGTAAAAAGCTTTTTCCTAGCAGGAGTCCAAAGTTAGGAGTAACCTCTGTATAAGGGACCTGTGAACAATCAGACAACCCCTAGCTCCTGTTAACCTTTCACCAGGTGCCACAATAATATTCCCAGGTTTTAGCCCTTTCTCTGCACTATCAACCAGAGATAAAACTGTTACTCAAACCTGTGTCTTACTGGGTTGTTGTTTTAATCTTAACATAAAACAGAATTATCCAGGGCTATAATTTTTGGTACAACTCCCCAATCTAGATTTGTACCCACATTCTGAATGGGGAGCAGTGTAAGTGCTAGAATAACTTGAGGAAGAGGGCATACTTAAAAATAAAGCAAACTCAATATCATTGCAGGCAAGGATTGACTGGATCAGGCAAAGAGCCAAGTTCTTGAGAAGGTTCTGGATCTCTGACACCATCCTAACATTTAATAGGAACATGTTTACATGCCACTATGAAAAGGAATGGGAATGCGGTGAGGGGGGGACAGAGGTCAGGCAAAAGGGACCTGAAAAATGCACACCATGCTTTTACAACAAAATCTCTGGAACAGATAGGCCATTTGGCTAAAGAATGAATAGGATTATACTTCTAACTTAACTAAGCATTTCCACTATAGTGTGTGCCTTTTATAAAGGAAATGAAAGAGAGAAGCAAAGCAAGGTTAGGATGAACTTGGAATATCCCTGTTTATGGCTTGTAATAGGGCATGTGAATTGGACTGCAGGTTAAGGGAAATGCTCTGCACATCATTTTCAGATCAGCAGTCACTTATCAGCCATAAGAATCCAAAAAGTAAACCTTTAGCCCAAGAACATCAGGAGGTTCAGCATTCAGTAGTCTGTGCTCTGCATATCTATATGGATATTACCAAGTCAATCTCCCATCCTCAAATCCACTCACTTCTGAGGAGCTAAGAACAGGTTTGGATCCCTTTGATTATCTTCCAGGACCCATCAAACACTGATATAAATAACCTAGCTTCCCCCTTGCCTAGGGATTTTTTTCCCAGTAACAATAGCTTGGGCATGCAAAAAGAAATAAATATATGAACTCCAGAACTTCAGTTCCCAGGTGTTAGCACAGATGAGAATCAGCTAAGGAACTCCTCAGAATGCTGATGGCCAGGACTTTTCCCCAGAGATTATGGGAGTTGGGGTTGGGAGGTGGGCTCAGAAACAGCGTTAACTAACACCCCTAGGAACACATGCAGGGGTCCTAAAATTACTCATGAAGAAACACTACTTTGGAAGTTCAGTTTGGCTGCCATCCTGCATGGGGAGAAGTGAAGAGACACTTTTTGAGAATTTTTTCCTTTAACTTCAGCACAATCTGCTGATTCACCTTTCACAGTGCACCCTGACCCTAGGGCACCATTGAGGACTAGGTTTTCTTATCAATTGTTGCTTTATCCACTCAGTATTCATTTCCCCACCCTGATCAGTTTGAATATCTACAGTAAGTTCACAGCAGTGGGCCAAGAAGTATGCAGATCTTTAGAAAGTTCACAGTTTCTCCTCTATTTTTTTTTTTTTTTTCAGTACTATGTCTGCAATTCCACCAAGAGCTATACAGTGCTCTAGGGGAAATATAATACTTTAACCTGTAATTAGATAACACCTTAGCAATTAGTTAACTGAGAAAACTCAGGAGTGGAGATAAATTCAGAGATGCTTATAAGGGAGGTAAGAGGACTCCAAAATTAGACTTGCGGTCAACTTCAGATGAAACATTTCAACAGTGAGGGATCAGGAGAGCTCCCAGACCAGAAAGGACAATTTGCTTTAAGTATCTTCCCCCTCCCCACAACCCCACCCTAAGCCCAAAAGTAGGTTCATAGATGCCTTTGGAAGATCATGCCCCTTAGCCATCCCCACCCATTTCTGACAAACAAGGATACCTAGAGATTCTCCCCACCCATTTCTGACAAACAAGGATACCTAGAGATTCTCCCCACCCATTTCTGACAAACAAGGATACCTAGAGATTCTGCCGCCATACTCCGAGCACCCCTGGATATCTGTGCAGCATGGAAGGCTGATGTACAGGTGTACCTCAATTCGTGTTAACAGCCATGCTCCTAATGTATGTGGACATTTTTGTAACTCAACTCATATGGTGACTGTACTTGAGAAGCTATTTAAGGGAACCCAGAGGTGAATTCTTTTGTAAAGAATCCTTTTGTAATGCAATTAATTATCCCTTAATGTATCTGTTTTGTAAGTTTGGATTTTTGTATATCAGGTTTACCTTAAGCTTCTCTACTGAGGCATTCTGAGCGGTGGCAATCATACCACCCTATCCACAGAGTAGAGGACCAGTGCATACTTCTCAAGTACCTTCTGAGGAAGTACCTGGCCAAAATTGTGGCCAAATGCAGTGAGAAGCAGCAGGCGGCAAAGGCAGGCTTACTGCTGTCAATATTGCTTAAAAGTCTTGGGTAAAGAAAAACCATAATTGCCTGTGTTGAAATGAAGCAGTCTTCATGTTCAGTAGCAATGGTTTTTTAAATGGTAGTAATTGAAAAGTGTTTTGCAATTTGTGAAACAGTGTATTGTGTTTTGTAAAAAGATTTCATGAAATGGTGGGTCCTTGAAACTCTTCTGTTCTATTCCACCTCTCTTCTCTCAACTTCCCTCCTCAGGCTCAGAAAAAAAAAAAAAAAGACCCAACAACAAAGATCAGAAGACTTCAGGTACTTCAAGTGGAGGGTTGCATTTTGGTAAATTAGAAAGAGCTAAGAGATGCTAGCTACCTTGCCTCCTCTCATTGGCTTCCATTTCATGAGATCAGGAAGACTTCTATTCTCTTCCAAGCTCTGGTGCTGGGAAACCTGGTTCATGTCCCATCCTCCAAAGGGGAAATCCTGGCACAGGAAGCACATACAGCATACTGGGCAAGCTGAAATGGATATGTCTTCTTGGTTCATATAAATAATAAGGGCCCCAAAGCGTTTATGCCACAAGGTAAAGGAGAAAGGCGATTTCTCCAATAAATAAAAATAGATTGGAAGAAAGATTGGGACAGCCAAGAGAGGCAGCTAGCCACAGAGCCCAATCAGTTGAGGTCTTTAATGTGCGTGGAGGAGACTCCTCATTATTCATGAATCTTGCTGATGCACAAACCCTATAAGGAGCTGCTGTTTCCCTGTCAGCCCAAGAAGTGCTAAGTGGAACAAGAGTCCAGTGCAACAGTGCTATGATCTGTCTCAGTGTTGGTGCTGAGTCTGTCTAAGCCCTGGAGCAAATTAAGCACTTCCTTGGTGTGGACAAAGAATAAAGGGAAAAGAAACTACTTTAAAACCTCTTTTCCTCCCAATTTATGTTTTGATACGCAAACCAGAAAATCCCAAGGAAATTGCTTTCTAGTCATTAAAACCACTATCTGCATTATTCAGTTACTTTCTTCACCCACCTCAAACGCCCATCTAACCCAGGATTCCCTCACTCTTCTTAGTTACTGATCATTTTATGAAAATAATGTAATTATAAGTATTTTCTGAAGGTTTGTGAAGAGTATTTGCATTGTGTCTTCATTTTAATGTGTGCGATCCCTATGCTCCAAGAACCAAAAGCTGTCTTGTGAGCATCAAGTGAACAGGCTGTTTTGCTCCAGCCACTTTCTTGTACAACACCACGGATGGACAAGATGTCCTCAGGTCTTCTCCATCTTCAGTTTCTATGACTGTGGAATAAATGTTCAGATAGAAACTTCATTGCTGCCATTCTTGGGGGATTTAAGTGTTGACAAGACACCAGTTCTTCCTAATAGGAATGAGTTATATTTGTTTTCTTGGTATAGTCCAAAGTTAACACAAGAATAAGAAAACTCAAGAATCCAAGTACTGTGCAGAAGTGAAGTGCTTCATGAGCCAGAGATAGGCTAGGAAAGAAGACAATACTCACAGATCTCTAAAAACTCTACCATAATTGTCTTTATGTAGTAATTTAACAAACATTTGCTAAATAGCCTCCATATGCAGGCCAAGTGCTGGAGCTGCAGTAGTGACCAAGGCAGGTATGATCTCTAATGTCAGAGACCTTCTCACAATTGATCCTCTCACCATTTTTAAACAGAAAAAACTATAATAGCTAACATTTACTGGGCACTTATAATAATGATCTCATTTAATCTTAAAGATTACAGTCCCAGGGGCTGGGGTTGTGGCTCAGTGGTGGAGTGCTCACCTAACATGCATGAGGCACTGGGCTCCATCCTCAGAACCACATTAATGTAAAATAAAGATACTGTGTCCACCTAAAACTAAAAAATAAATATTAAAAAAAAATTATAATCCCATGAGATAGGTACTTCAGATGTAGGTAAGAGAGACCTCTAGTTTACAGGTGAAAAAATGAGTCAGAGAAATTACTTAACTTGCCCAAGGTCACAGAGTGGTGATAGTAGCATAGAGACTTGTAGGTAGACAGTGCAGACATATCATTTTGTCAGAATTCTGATCATTGCCTTACTCTTCCTCTTCCCAATGCCCTCTTAGTCTGTTTTACTGTCCTCAACTCCACAGAACAGAGAGGGAAACTGGTGACTGTACCTACATTGATCCATTTAACTCAAGACTGTAGCCCCTGTAGTTTTACAAAAGTAGTGTTTTAGCACCTGTAATTTCAGTTTTCTACTCTAACTGAAAACTGGTATAAAGACGGTTGCAAATCGCTCAGCAGTCCTGCAGTTTCAGGCATGTTTGTAGCTTCTGACAATCATTTTAGCTGCTGACAGACTTACTGTTATGAATATGCTAGACTGATACAGTCTTCACACATATTGTTACAACCAAATCAAATCTCATAAAAATTTGAACCCACTATAACCTAATTTGAGATTTGATTTGGTTATAACAATTTACTCAAGAATGTTTTACATTATTAAGTTATTCATTTTTTAGATGCCTATTGTGAGCCAGGAATTGGGTTAGCTGTAATAAAAAGACAAAAGTAGATTCTGATCCCATGGACTCATGGAGCTCAGCCTAGTGTGGATGACACAAACTGGTAGCATAATATGGTGTGTACTCTGATAAAGAAACGAACGTAAAGAACCAGATATAATGGTGCATGCCTGTAATCCTAACAGCTCTGGAGAAGAAGGCAGGAGGATCACAAGTCAAGGCCAGCCTAGGCAACTTAATGAGAGCCCCAATCTCATAATAAAAAGGGCTGGGACGTAAAGTGCCCCTGGATTCAATCCCCAATAACACCAAAAAAGAAAAGAAATGCTACGGGAATAAAGACAGCACTTAACGTGTAGGAGGTGGAGAAGAAGAGTGGAGAGACTGGGTAGAGTTAAGAGGCATTTCAAGTAAAAGAAACAGCATATGAAAAGTTCTAGAGTTGGGAAACCATGGCAAACAAGGAACTGGGGAACTTTACTCAGGAGGGATACATTAGAAGATAGGATCGTCACCACTAGGTGGAGCTGGCTGTCACTCACATGTGAGCAAAGTTAGCTTTTTGATGTTTTGGAATTACTTAGCTATGACATCATTTAAACAGAACAGAGAGACTAGAGATACAGGCACAGATAAATCCATGTGGATTTCAGGGAGGATGTCAGTCTTATTTTTTCCCAGAAACAGAATGAAAATGACGATAGAAAGAAAAATTAACTTCTCAGGGGATGCCAAGCACTGTACTGAATGAATATCTCCCACATATAATTCATTTCATCCTCAATACAATCCTATGATGTAGTCAATAGTTAACAGATGAAGAAACTGAAGCAAGGAGGCAAAACAACTTGATAACAAGAGGCAGAGCCATTTGCAAGAAAGTTTGACTTCATAAGAAATATATTTAACACAGTGCTGAATCACAATAAACATTCAACAAAGGCACAATATGATTGAGAGCAGGAAGAAATCTAAGATCGCTATGGTTCAATTTTGCTCTACAAGATGTGCTACTGGAACTCTATGTCTAAACAGAAACAAAAAGTAGTCCCAATCTGAGGTCTGCCTCAGATAAACATGCTGGGATAAATATGCTGGGTTTATGAAAGTCTTCAGAAAAACTTCAGAATTACTCAGAAAAACCTTCATTTCTTATCTTCCTGATGACAAGTAATATACTAGTATGGGTTTCCACTTAGTATAAAAGAAAGAAAAGTAAAGGTCTGATAATCGCATTTCAATTTTGTGACTCAGCAGAGTGACCCTGAAGCCTATTTTCCCGTCTCTAAAATAAAGACAAGGCCCAAGATCCCCTTCTGCTTTCACATCCTAACTTTCAAATCTTTTCACTCCATAGATTTCAATAATCTGAAATCCTGAGTTTAGCATTATTATATTAATGGGGATATACTGTTGTTCCAATTTTTGTCCACAACTTTCCTTACAAAAGAAGAAGGAGGAAAAAAAAAAAAGGCTAACCTAGAATAAGAGAAGCTTCAGCTATGGTGGGCTGCCTCTAGAGAAGGTTCAGTCTCAGAATTCATACTAATTCCTTTTTTTACCACCATAAAATAAATTTTAAATGCAGTCATAAATATCAGGATAAATCAATTTTGAAGACTTATTTCAATATATAAGGAAAGGATGTTTCCACTTAGAGAGATTGAAAAAAAGAAATAATAAAATCTGAATACACAAAACAGCCCAACAAAGCCGACTTCTCAAGATCTAGGAGCAGAAGCACAGAGCCAAATTAACTCAGATCATGGAAACCTTTACTGAGTACTATGTGCCTCTGCTAGATGTTGGGGACTAGATTAAGACACTGTCCTTTTCAAATAAATTTCAGTAATTGTGAGGCCTTCTATAAATATGAATTTAATATCTAGTATTAGGAAGAAACCAAACTTGCACAGAAATCCCTAGAAGAGAAAGCTTAATTTTCCTTTGTAATGGGACAATTACTATCCCAAGCCTTAATATCTAGGATATTTTCAAGTATTTCCATGCTAAGAATGTCCTGCTGGGTAAGTCCAATCCAACTGACACAAAACCTACCAACGTTCTATTATTTACTCTCATGTAACTGTTTTATCATACTTTTGTGATAGTAAGCAGTCAAAATGTTACTGCAGACCCATTGGGACTTGAGTTTATAATCAATCAACTGAGAGTCCTCAGGAAAAAAAAAAAAAACTTAAGAAATTAAATTTAAAGGCATTCCACAATAGCAAATGATAATGAGAATAGAGACAAGCTTATAGCTTCCTAAAAAAAAAGTGTCTCCATCCCCGTGGGTTTAGAAGACACATGATGGTTTCTTTATTTTCTTCACAATATCAAATTATACTCATCACTGGAATGGCAGAAACATTATTCCATAAGCAAAACTCTTGCCCTTAAAGAACCTATGTATCTGGATGCCTATGTATCTGGACAGAGAATATGAAACAAGAAATCCAATGGTGATTCATGAAGAATGCTATAGTTAGTAGACACAGCTCAACATCTTTGAAAAAGATCTCTACAGTAAAGAAGAACTAAATCACATTGTTAACTGACATGCCTTAGAGTGCACCTAATTTTGGTCAAAATTGCTAAGATGTTTCCAAGGTAACAAAAAAGGAAAGCAAAAAGATAATTCATACAAGATCTGAAATGTTTTTTATTTTAAATTGAGGAGTTTCAGTGCTTCTATAATAATCTTGAAATTGGCATTTATAGGCATTAAAGAAATTATTCTTATAATGTTCTTATGGATCTAGAGCTTAATTTCTAATTTTGGGGAGCCTATGAATTTTCCAAGTTCCTTTAACAATCAGAAAAAAAAAAAACCACTAAAGATATTGTACATATAACTCAAAACAATTTAATGTGCAATTTGGGGGGGTTCCCAAAGCCCATTCAGTACTCTCTTCTGGAGTGAGATAAACTGGACTGCCAGAAAAATCACCACCATTTTTGGTCATTATCTGAAAGTGACTTTATGTTGATTGAACCTCAACTTCTCAACCAGAGGAACTGTCTCTAAATCAAGCCTCCCATGGAATCAGTGCTTCCCTCTACAACATCTCACAACCCCACAATCCCTCAGTGATGGGCAGCTGATTTTCTCAGCCAGTTGTCATAAATAGCTAATATCCAACTCTAAACAACCTGCTGCCCTAGTAGTCCATTTGTGCCAAGGCACAGTATACAGTATGTACAGGAGCAGAGCCTCACCTCATCAATCATGGCCCTGTACATGTGTTGGGTGGGATGATCAACAGATTTGTGACCTATTTTGAAGACCATGTAAGATTCCCCAATTAGACTCATTTCTTAGTCCATGTATCACATGCCTTTATGGAATCCATCACAAGTTCTGCTGATGGCAGCTAGTAACTACAAAGAAACATAGAATTTGTCCTTAACCATCATCTAGGACAGGTAATGCTCAAAAGGGATACATTTTATACAACTCCTTACAGAAGAGAGAAACCATGTAGCTCATTACTATAAAACAAGAACTCTCAACCTAAAGGGCCAGGCAATGTGACATTCCCTGAGAAATAAACCTCAATCTCTTACTCCACAGTGAATGATGGGAAAAAAAATTTAGCCAAATTGACATCTTTTAGGCATGATGTCTCCTCAGAAGAGACTCAATAAAACTAGGAGAAAACTATTTCAATAATCAAAGAAATAAATACTTAAAACTCAGGCAGCTTCTAAATCTCATTTCTGTTAAGAAAACTCATTTCTAAAATAGCATGTGTAAAATCTACTAGTAATAACAAAGAATAAAATTTCAAAGAAAAACCACTAACACAAAAATAAACTGAATCCTGCTTTAATTGAAGCTTGTAGAGTACAAAGTCCTACAGAAAGATTATACAGAATCTTCTGGAAAATAGGGCTCACAAAACCCCTATTGAGAGGAGGATGAGAGTAAATTCATAGCTCACCAAAGCCTCTCTGTATCAATTTCCCAGAGTACCCAGAAGGTCTCTTTACCACTTCAGTTCTATTCCTCATCTCCAATTTTTATTTCATTAGAAGGCAAAAGTGTCTATATTACTTGAATTATTCTGACCTTAAGAAATTTAGACTTTTAGATGTTGAACATTTGAAACTTAAATAATTTAGTAAGAAAGCCACCTGACCTTAAAAGTTATTTTGCAAGTAAATGGGAAATGGACTAAATTATCCTGGATATAATTTCATTAAGGTTTCAAACCATCCAGGAAAGAATAGAGCAATTATATCATTTTATAATTCAAGTTTAGAAAAAGTTAACTACCCAAATTAAGAAAAGTGTGTGCCCACAGATAGCTTATTTCTTAAAGGCCACTCCCTCAAAATAACACATTTCCAGTCTTTGTTCCTTTCTCCTTGTCAAAAATACTAACTTGATTTCTTTTGGAGGAATGCATAATACAAGATGATACAATGGGCCCATCTCTGCCCAAAAATGTTGAAAAGTCTAAAAGCTGGAAATAAAGCTGATAGGCAAGACAAATATGGGTCAAATATGAGTCAACTGTTTCTTCATTTGTTTCTAATTCATTCTATAACCCAAGGCTTGCATTTACCAATCCTTTCCCCTAAAGTCATCTAGCTATTTGAGCAGAGAGCCTGGACGTAAAGTCTATGGAGGAATGGGAGTTGACAGATAAACTGTCAAGGTGAGAAGAGGTAGAGGTTTGGTGGTTAATGAATAAGTGCCTGTCTAGCCAGCTCCTCTTCTTCTCTTGACTTGAATCAACCAATGTAGATGCGATGAAAATCATTGGCACCAAAAGCAGCATTACACTTGGGACATTTGCGCTGACGGGTGTCATAGCGTGTTTTCACACACTCAAAGCAGAAAACATGAAAACACTTGGTAAGTACAGCATCCTTTTTGCGCATATTACAGCATGGACAGGTCAGACGAGCCTAAAACAGAAGGAAATCAGAGTCTGAATAACCATAAAGGTTTAAGAACCAAATGACTATCATATATAAACCAACCAACCACAAAGAACTAGAACAAGAGTACCACTCCCCCACCGCCACTTAAAATAAACCACTGTCTGGTTACCTTCATGTAAAGAAGTTCAGTGTTTATTCCCCCAATATATCGTAGACCACTTCAGATTTTAACCAAAATCAAAGAAATCACTGAGGCAGTATTTCTAACCTTATAATCCTTAATTTCCTCCATCAGAATCTCATCACACTTGGGCACATTATCTGGTTTCTTTGTGGTCTCCAGCTTCCTTCGAAGTCTTGAGATGTCCTCCTATGGCAAGATAGCAGACCCATTAGACCCATTTCCTCAGACATACCTGCTGTTTTTGAGAAAATATTTCCTACAACTTGAACTTGCTGACATAGAAAGAAAGGACCTTTTGTTCTTTCATGTCCAATTTATATTTAGGAATACAGAGAACTGCAAAGGGTAAGATATTTTCTTTTGTTTCAGAAAAGACAACCATAACCATATCCCCAAATTAGTTATTTCAATTACTGTCAATTCAGTCCTGTGAAAACATAATCTAACAATTTACAAAATAGGCCATCTTATTTTGTGGCAACTGGTTTTAAGGTAAGGGTAGAATGGAATTAAAATAATTTACAGCTTGTGGATAAGGATAGAAAAAAATCACGAAAAATAGATAACATGACAAAAAATAGAAAAATTAGAGAACTTTAAAATTTCATGTTGATATGCTACTTTAAAAATTCACTAGTTCACACAACTAATAAATATTTATTTTATGCTGATTAGCTGGTGGACATAATAGGCTTTGGGAATATGATGCTGAAGAAAACAAACTCAGTCTTCTCCCACAAGGAACTTACAGTCTAGTTGGAAATAATATACATTAAACTAATGGCTTATCTCATGGTCACTTCAGACCTCAGAAAACACCTAAAAGTTGAAATGTAAGGAAAAGAGAATTGCTCTTACCTGGGCTCGTTTGAAATTGAACATATCTTTTTCTTTGGTGACACTGTTCTCCACAATCTCATCCTGAAAATCATGGAGCTTCTTCTGCGCCAACTCAAGTTGTGCTTTGAGATCATCTGCAAGTTGGGCTGCCTCCATTGCCTGTGTGAGATGTACAAATAACATCATCCTATCACCCCTGATTTCAAGCAAGGCAAAATGTTAACCTAAGTTCAAGGAATGAAGTGGACTTAAAATTTCATCCAGGTTATACACACTTGCTTCTCAAGATGGACCTCACTTGAGATTACAAAATAATCCATCATACCTTACGTTTATTCATCTCCAAGGCTTGGGTCCTAAGACCCAGCTCCTTCTCCCCTGTGCCAATGTTGCTTTGCAATAAATGCTCCTTCTCTTCCAGTTTCCTTACTACCTGTAACTGGGCATCAACCTTTGGAGGAGAAAATCAGACATTAACATAAACAGGAAGAAAAATAAAACTGGCTATGCTTTCTTAATTCATCGTCCATGAAATATATAGTATGTTAGAAACAAACTATTACTCATTATATCCATGAACCCTTCAAAATATATCCAAGAGGGCCAGGGAGGTAAACTGCTATGCAGGAGTGCTGACATAGCATGCTCAAAGCTCTGGTTCAATCCCCACTATCGAGGTTAAAAAAAAAAAAATCAAGACTTATTATTATTAAAGACTTCACATTGATATAAAATACTGATGAGATTTAAATAAGAGTCTCTGAAACCACTAAAAGTCTTTTAAAGAATCTTAGCAATTCTTTTCCAAATTGCCAAGAATAGATAAAATTACACTTACAGATATTGATCTTCTGCAGCCATACTAGTCCTCAAAACCTGACAATTCCTACTAGAACATATAAATTTTAGCTCAAATAAAAGTTCAACCATTCCTCTCTCTCAGAATAACTAGAGATTCTAATGTAGTCTTTTTCTTGAAATTAATGCATAAAGTAGAATTAAATAAGATTAAAGGATGTAAAATCACACATCCACTTCAGAACCTTTCACCCACAAACTCAAAATCCAGAGGTAGCTAGGTAAGCACTCTGACAGCTTCCCTGTAGGCTTCCAGAAATTTTAAAAGTACACACTCATACACACATTTTAATACAAAAGAGAAAATAAATCACTTGATAGATTTTAAAAATTTATCCACATCAGCAAATTCATGTGCTTTTAACAGTTATATTGTACTCCTTTGTAGACATGTAAAATTTATTTACCTGTGCCCTAATAATAGACACTTGGTTTGCAGAGGATTTTTTAACATCATTCAAAATGCCACAATGACCATTTGACAGGTATCTTCATACTGAAAGCATCTTACATCAACAGAATGGAAAACTCCACTCATCCTAATTACCTGAGTCTTCAGAGTCAAAACCTGGTCTGCCAGTTCCTCCTTCTCTTCTTTGAGTAATTTATGGATCTGATTAGACTTGATACGCTCTGACATGAGTTTAAAATTTGCATCATCCTTTTCTCGCAACTGCTGCATCAAACGGATATTTTGTTCCTGCATGTCTTCAAAGGCTTGGCCTGTGACATCCATCTCAGAGAGCAGAGCTTCTTCTTCCTAAAATGAAAAATCTTATAAGGAGAATGTTCTAACTCCAAACAATGAACATAGGAAATTAAACTTTCCCACTGTTAACTTAGTGACAGAGACAGACTTAGCTTAAGACTAAACTTAAGCTTTGTGTTGTAACTAAGTTCCCTGAAAATACAGAAGAAGCCCTATTACTTGAAATCACTGGCACCAACTTTTGGTCTGATATTCATTAGTTGGTCTGTACTTAAGCCAGGAAAGCAAATAATAACTACACATACCTTAATCTAGCAAACTTATCAAGTAGCACTTGGGTTTAAAAAAAAAAAAAAATTCTATCATAAAGCCTCACATTTTCTCATAATTTTCCACAACTTATAATACTGAATTTAATCTACAGAATTTTCAGCTAGGTGATATATGGTACCTAACAATAGCTTTAATTTACATTTGTCTCATTTTAATTAAGACTAAAGCAATCTGAGTTTCTTTCTGTGAACCATTAATATCTTTTGCCTATTCTTCTACTGGGTTGTTGGTTTTTTTCCCCTATTATTTTTCAGAATTTTTTAAAATATGTATTAGAAAGATAAGTCCTTTTGTGATAAGAGATAAAAGTATTTTTTTTTCCTTTTTCTCATTTGATCTGTTGGCTTTAGTAACAATGTTTTTGCCATTTACAATTTTTGTGTCTTCTTTTTTGTCATAACTCAAAATTGTCAATTTTCCTTTCACGTGTTCTGGACTTTCCTTAATAGTTACAAAATTTACCTGTTTTCCTCTTATTCTTTGGTAGATTTATCTCTCTCTTTTTTTTTTTTTTTAATACTTTTTTTAGTTCTAGATGGACAACAACATCTTCACTTTATTTTTTTATGTGGTGCTGAGGACGGAACCTAGTGCCTCACATATGCCAGACAAGCACTCAACCACTGAGCTACAATCGGAGCCCTGGATTTATCTTTTTAATATGATATCTTGGATCCATTTGGAAATCATCTTAGCATAGTGTTCAAGTATGTATACAACTTTTTTCCAATATTATTTCATTTTTGTCCCACCACATTTAACATTCTTTCCTTTCCCTAATGATTTAAAACTATATTGTTAGTGTATATTAAATACCCACATGGACTTTTGTTTATTTCTGGATTTTTATTCAGTTCTTTCTCTGATATCCCAAGCTATTCTACCTATTGAAACTTGATGTTAATAATCCAGTTATCCTTAAAACTATTGTCATTTTGCTATTTCTTGGAAACAATGAGGGCATACTGAACAGTGATATATGGTTTTTCCCATCATTTGTGTATCTTTATTATCAAATGCTAATAAAAATTTCCTGGGACTTTAAAAATAAATAAATGCATTCTTTATGAGAAAAACAGATTCCACAACCACAATCAACATATTGGTTAGTTTTTTGTAACCTAATTGGGAAGCATATTTTTGTTAGTTTTATATATTTACTATCATAATATATAAAAAAAATTATATCTCGTTTTCATTTTATATTCATTATATCTCCTAATTCCACAAAAGCAGAAAAAGAATAGATCCTTTATAAATGAAGTTAAAACAATTGACAATCCATCTGAAAATAAAAATAAATTTTTCTGCCTCTCAAACACAGAAAATAATACAGGAATGAAAGTCTTCAATGTAAAAACAAATAAACAAAACAAACAAACAAACAAACAAAAAAAAAAACGGAGAAAAAATACTAACAAGAAAAAAAATGACTAGAATAAAAGCAAATTTCATTGGCAGTAACTTCCCTGTCAAGTAACATTTACTTAAAAAGTCAATTAAATAAAGAAAGTGTGCCCACCTGCTTGGCCATGGCCAGTTTTTTCTGCAGGTATTCAATCTGCTCTTCTACTGCCCGAATCTTCCTCAAGGCATCCTCATCAGCCATTTTCTTGTTTTCTTTCTTCTCCTTATCCTCTAGATCCTTGAGTCTTTGCCTTAGATCTTCCAACTATAGAAGAAAAATTACATAAAAATAAAAACTAAGTTATAATTCTTTTTCAAAAAAAAAAAAAATCAATTAACACTTTGCAAGATGGAAGGCCGAAAATACCACAAGACCATTTTTGCAGAATTCTGGAAAAAAATAAATAATAATGAAAAATGATCCAATACGGCACATCACAACACTGTTTTAACAACATGCCATTCCCCAATTTCATGAGCAACATTTTTGAGAACTATAAATATTATAACAGAGTTTATAACCTTTCCCCCCCTTAGTTCTCAACAAATAAAAGTATAAAAAATTTCCTCCGAAAAAGTAGTCAGAAAAAAGAGAATAACTACAGTATGATTCATTCAGCGGAGAATAAAAAATTTTTAAAACTTCTTATTATTAAATTATTACTATGCCAGTAATTTTGAAATCTTACTATCTTTCAGAGAATCTTAAAATCTCTAGTTTAGATGGTCTTTGATAAGAAAATGTTGCTAAATACCTCTAAGACAAAGAAACTATATCTTTCAATAGTATGAACCCTAGAAATTAAAATTTTAACAGGAAGACTAGATTACCTCTGCCTTAGACTTCTTCTCTGCTGCCATTAGTTGAACTTTGTCTCTCTGTTCCTTCGGGGCAGAGCGGTACATATCTAGCAACAATTTCATCTCCTTTTGGCTCTCTTGTGCCTTCCTATGATAGAGGTGGCAGAGGGAGGGGAACAGGAATGAGAAAACAAAGGCCATATCAGAGCAAGGGAATTTGGAATTGAGCAGAATATTTTAAGGTTTTGTTTCTTTTTTTCTTTTTAATATTCTAGGTCATAACTAAAAAACAAAATATTATACAGAATATCAGTAGACTTCTGAATATAGTTGAGAAGTACAGAAAAGTTGTATAAATGAACCATTTCTCCCTTAAATTCTCTACAAAGTTTTAAAATAAAGATTTGTCACATTTATTACATTAGACAAACTTCTGTGTTCCCACTCTTAAAAACTGAGACTCAATAGGATTGAAATGGGATCCACGATGTATTCAAATAAGTCACTAAGATGATTCTAATATGACAACTTATAAAAAAATGTTTACGTTAAAGAGATCAATAGGAAGAAAAAGGGACAAAATTTGAAAGTTTAAAATAAACTAATCCTAGACTTCATAGCTGATTAGCCACCAACTAAACACTAACATTTCACTTCTTACTAAATTATTAAACCTTTTAACTACTCTTGAGTCCAAGTATTTTGAGTACAGTGGTCCCTCAAATTAAAACATTAACAAAGACTCTACCACAGAAACTGGAGAGCTAAATGTATTGCCAGATAAATTATTAGTTAGGTGGGGAAGACACCAATATTTGAAGGTGATCTATCTCACTATTTCAATTGCTGTAGAAATAAATCTTCTAAGAAATCTCTTACTATGATCTGGCATACCAACAAACTAGTTTGTCAAGAAATCAGATACTGTTTAAGTTACAACAGCAATGCATACTCCATTTAGTATAATTTAAACTACAATTAATGCCAGCAATCACTTAAATATAATTATTTAGAACGATTCTCAAGTGTGTTGCTGCATTATGATATCCCTTCTCTTCACATTAATGAAGGACCAAACTACAGGGTTTATTGTTATTTAACCACTCAACTAAACTGCACAATAGCCAGGGAGGCCACTCTTGATCGAATTGAGACCACATTAATTGGTACATTTAGTTACATCTAAAATATTAGAATGATCAGACAGGTTCTACCATCAACCAAACATTTCATTTCATTCTTGATGTCTGAACCTTAAGGTTCTGAGTCAGAAATAGTCACTCTACATATTGGTCTCACTTGAGTTCAATCTTCAATTGTTTGATAATTTCTGCTTCCTTTTTCCTTCCATCATCATGTTTTCCTTTTTCCTTATCCTTAGCAGAATCTCTTTCTTTTTCTGATTCTTTCAGTTTCTGCTTCTCTCGCTCTCTCTCCTTTTCCTTCTCTCGTTCTCTTTCTCGCTCCCTTTCTTTCTCCCTCCTTTCTCGTTCTCGCTCTTCCTCATCCCGTTTGGATTTAATTTCATTGACATCCTCCTGAGAGGTTTTCAGTGCTGAGGACTGGGTGGGTAAGTCCTCAGAATCTTGTTTTAACTCTGCAGGTTCATCCTTGGCATCCTCTGTACTAGACTGAGACTGCAGGAGGGCACTGCCACTGCGCAGACGTGTCTGCATAAACAGAAAAAAAGGAAAGACACATATCACTTATGATAGCCACATTTCTCACCTCACTCAAAAAGCTTCACAAACTTAATAGCTAGTGATACTTATTCTATTCCTCCTTACCTTGTTCAGATCAGATTGGGCTTCTCTCAACTTCCGTTTATACCTTAGGACCTCCCCTTTCAGCTGGTGATTGTGATTCTGGAGGCTACTGATGAGGTGGCGCATTTCCCGGTTTATAGGACCTTAAACATAGCAATAGCAATGTTAAGAGAAACTGTAATGAGGGTAAAGGCAAAAGGAGAAAAAATGAAGAACACAGAACACATGAGGATGCTCTGAAAAACAGAGAGAATAACCATAAGAAATATTCTTTCTCAGAAAGTGAAAATGAAACTGGTCAATTAGAGTTAAAAAAAAAAAAAAAATACTTGGGCTGTGTGTCAAAAGGAATCACAGGATTTATTTAAGTTACTTTAGGACTTCTGAGTTGAAATTAGTATTAACAAATCCCGGGACCAAGTTGTGTCTTTCAAGAAAGGCCTTTATAAATTTACAGACAAAACTGCAGGGTGGAGCAAAAGTAATTATATACCTGCTTGTTCATTGGCAGCAAGGGTCTGCTCAAATTCTATCCTCAGCATTTCATATTCCTTGCGGACCTGAGCCAGTGTATCTTCTAGCTGGATCACTTCAGTTCTCAGCTTCTTATGAAGACTAACCTCATCTCGCTACACACAGAAAAAGGAAACAGTCAAAAATTCTTATCAAAATGTGGAAAGCTGGATGTGGTGGTGCACACCAGTAACCCAGCGGGAGGGAGGCTGAGGCAGGAGGATCATGAGTTCAAAGTCAGCCTCAGCAAAAATGAGGCTCTAAGCAACTCAGTGAGACCCTGTCTCTAAATAAAAAAATACAAAATAAGGCTGGGGATGTGGCTCAGCAGTCTAGTGCCTGAGTACAATCCCTGGTACCAAAAAAAAAAAAAAAAGTGGAAATATGGCTGAGGTTGTAGCTCAGTGGAAGAGCATTTGCCTAGCACACGAGGCACTGGGTTTGATCCCAAGCACCACATAAAAAAAAAACTACATAAACAAAATAAAAGTATTGTGTCCATCTACAACCAAATATAAATATATATATATATATATATATATATGGAAATATCACATCCTATTATTTTGTCTCCTAAATTTGACCTACACGATTTAAAAAGAAAAAAGAATATGATATGGAAAAAAATGGGTTACTCAGAATATTTCCACTTCCAATAACGTTAGATAGCTTTAAAACATTAATTTAGAAACTGGCAGGATAGTGAAGAAAGAAAGGAAATGGGCTTCATCTATGAAAATATTATAATTTAGTTAGAGACCTCAACCATAAAACAATATATAAAAATCTATAAAGTAGTAGTAATTAATTTGGCTGACATATATAATAAAACCAACTATTAAAAACATTATTTTAAGGAATATAGTAAAAAAAAAAAAAAAGAACATATAAACAAAAGTTTCCACCCATGGCTTCCTCATACACATAAGCTCCAGCCATCTGAAACTATTTGCCATGCTCTTTCACATTCTCATACATGCTGATCTCACTGCTGGGAATATACTCCTACTTTTAACTACAAGTAAAGTTAAAGTTAAATATCTTTAAGATTTGCACTTCACCGTCTCAAGTAGAATCAAGAAGGTTCCACAGTCAAATCATATGCTCTGTCTCCTCCATCACTGCACCTTTTAGATATGCTGCTATTGTACACATTGCAAATGAATGGATACTATTCTCCCAGGGGACTATACGATCTTTAAAGACAGGAATTCTGTTACCTCATCTTTATATGCCCACCATCTAATGGAGATCAATAGTCATTCTATACATGTTTGCTGAATGGATGAGAGATTAACTGCATAAGAGAGAGCAAACCTATGACACTTAATGAGGTAGAAAAACATATATTACAGAAAACAAAGCAGCGCTGTTACCTCAATGAGTTCAACCTGGCGCTGGTGGGTTCCCCTGGTGCCATGAAGCAGGGTCCGAGCCTCATCCAAGTGAGCTTTCAACTGTAGGCTCTCATTGTACAGAACAGAGAACTGTGACTGCATGCAACGATATTCTGGAGTTTCCTTAACCACCTCCTCCACTGCACTCCGCAATTCCACCTTAGAAGGACCCAAAGGAAATTCAAGTCAGAAGCACAATCTAGCACATGTGAGCAAGATGCTAGATATATAGAAAATAAATCACCAAACTCACTGAAGGTCCTGCAAAAGTGAAACAATTATTATGAAGATTATGAATTCTATCTCCCCTTTCTTTTTGTAAAATCTATCCCAAATTATAGATCACTCAGGACTGTTTGATATGTGTCTTACATTGTTTCAATCTAGATCCAAAGATAGAAGAAGAGCTACCAGAAGGGTCCTATGAAATCTGCCAAGATGGTTCCTTTAAAAACATAGTTAAGTATCCTAGTCACTAACTTCTTCTCTTTATAGTCACAGAGAAATATTTCTGACATGGTAACAAAAATAAGGGCTAGGGATATAGCTCAGTGGTAGAGTACTTACCTAGTATGCATGAGGCCCTGGATTCAATCCCCAGTGATAGAAAAAAAATTTTTTTTTAATTCCATGGTAGCAAAAACAATTATTCACTTAAGCAACTATTTGCTTTAATTAGCCAAACAATTTCATTAATTTAACTTGTTTTGTTTCTTCAGTTCAAACATCTTTATTCTTATTAACCCTGAAACAAATTAAATTATAAAAAACAGATGGCTATGGTTGAAAGAGGTATAAGAAAAACTTCCAGAATCTTCTTTCTTCCCCTAAGAGGGTGAAGAGGGAAAATTCTAACGGGCAGGTTTGAAAACCAACAGGATCACTGACCATGTTTCTGCCTTTGTTTTGGCAGCAAGAAACTACAGAGCCAAATCTGTGGCCTGCCTTTGGCAAAAAATGACACGTGAATGCCTATCCTCCACAGTCTAAACATGTTTCTTTTATACACCTTATAAAGGCTCAATTTAACATCTATTTTAAATTCTCACTCTATTTTACCCTCTTCATTTTCCTCAATAATTCCTAAATTAGAACACCCTGATTACTCTTTCGATCTTTATAGGTTGCTTTAAATTTTTTCAAAACAAGGCAAGTTGCAGATAATAGGTAAATATGTAAATTAGGGTTTTTTCTCCCAGTTTTACTAAGGTACAATCAACAAATAGATTGTATATATTTAGAGTGTATGTTTTGATAAATGTATTCACTATGAAGTGACTGCCACAGATAAGCTAATAAATATATCCATCATCTCAGTTACATTTTTTGTAGTAAGAGCATTTAAGATCCACTCTCAGTACATTTCAAATACAAAATACAAAATTATCAACTATAATCACCAAGCTATACAGTTAATCTCCAGAATTTACCTTGCACAACTGAAACTTTCTACCTTTAAACCAACATCTTCCCATTGTCCCCAGTTCCCAGCCCCTGGTAACCACCATTCTACTTAGTTTGTATAAGTAAGTTCCACTTCTTTAATCCCACACATAAGGGAGATCATGTAATATTTGTTTTGTGTGGCTGGCCTGTTTCATTTAGTATAATGTCCTCCAGGTTCACAGATGTCACAAATGACATGGTTTCCTTTTTTAACTCTGAATAATACTTCATGATGTATCTATACCACATTTTCTTTATCCATTCAATGTAAACATACATCTCCTACCTCTTTGGTCAGAATTATTCCTAAGTACATTTTTTATGCTATTATAAAATGAAATTGTTTCCATAGTCTTTCTTTTCATTGAAATACAACTTGTTATGGTTTAGATATTGGGTGTCTCCCAAAGTCTCTCATGAGAAAATGCAAAAAAGTTTAGAGGTGAAATGATTAGGTTCTGAAAGGTTTAACATAATCACTGCATTAATCCCCTAATAGGGATTAAGTGGGTGTCAACTGTAGGCAGACAGGGTATGGCTTGAGAAGATGGGTCACTGAAGGGCATACCTTTGGGGCAAATATTTTGTCTCTGGCAAGCAAACACTTGGTTTGCTTCCTGGTGCCATGTCCCCAGTTGTTATCTTCCACCACACACTTTTGTCATAATGTTCTGCCTTACAGGAGGACCTGAGGAATGGAGTCAGCCATCTATGGACTGAGACCTCTGAAACATGAGTCCCAAAATAAACTTTTCTTCCTCTAATTGTTCTTATCAGATCTTTCTGGTTATAGCAGCTAAAAAGCTGACTAAAACAATGGATTTTTATATATTGAGTTTGATTCCTGCAACTTTACTAAACTTGTTTATAGCTCTTACAGTTTTCTTGATAAAGTCTTCAGGGTTTTCTATTTAAAAGATGATATCATCTAGAAGCAGACATTAATTCTTCCTTTCCAATCTGAAGGCCTTTTACTACACCTCATGGGACTAGAAATTGGAGATTGAACCCAGGGTCACTGTACCACTGATCTACAATCCCTGCACTCTCCTGGCCCACACATACACACTGGCTTTCTTTAAGACAGGGTCTTACTAAGTTGCTGAGGCTGGCCTCACACTTGGAATCCTCCTGCCTCAGCCTCCCAATCCTCCCATGGGATTATAGGTATGCACCACCACAACCAGAAAAGGCCTTTTATTTCTTATTGCCTAACTGCTCTTGCTAGGACTTCCAGTACCATGTTGAGTAAAAATGGTGAAACTGGCCACCTTTATTTTGTTCCAAATCTTATATGAAAAACTTTCAACTTTTGTCCATTGAGTATGAAGCTAATTATGGACTTATAATATCTGGCCTTTACTATGTTGAGGTATGTTTCTTCTATACCTAATTTGTTTAGAGTTTTTATCATGAAGAAATGTTGAATTTTGTGAAACACATTCCTCTTTTCGCTAGTAAATTATGCAGGTTCACAAGTGTATGTGTGTGTGTGTGTACTCATATATATATGTGTGTGTACTCATATATATACACGTACACACACATGTACACACACACACATGTACACATGAGTTGGTCTGGTTTTACTGCTTTTCAGAGATATGCCTCCTACCTTCAACTTCTCATTCTGGGTAGTGACCTCCTCAAAGTCTTGCCGAAGTTTCTCCAGCTCACAGTGACGGTTCTGGGCCAACTCTTTGTTCTCTTCAAGCTCTGCATTCATTTCCTCAAACTGGAGAAGCAGAGAAATAGCAAATGAGAATAAGACCTAACACCAGGTCAAACACTGCTCCCTAAGTGGGTCACTGACTTTACCTTCCGGGCATTGATAGTGATTGTGCCACCATAGAGACTGCTTCCTGCTCCATATACCTTATAGCCTTTTGAATTCACCTATAGAGAAGACAAAGATTCTTTAGTAAGTGACCTTAAATTTTGGCCTGATAAGCAATGTACTTTTCAAGGATCAGTTATTTCCCCCAAGCATCATCATCCAACTTGATCCTTTCTGAAAAGACTCCTTAAAAATGATTCTAGAATCCAAACCATAACAACACAGCACTGACCCGTTCTAGGACTTCTGCCAAGTGTCGGTTGAGTCGCTGTTCCCTCTTACGAATTTTGTCAATATCCCACTGCAGATCATCAATCATAGACTCCAGGACAGATACCCGTGACTCCGCTGTCTCCACTTTACTCTGCAACTTAGAAAACTATATCCCAAAGATGGGCATTCAGAAAAACAGCAAAAAGAGACCAAATTAGAAAAGAAATACCTTACATCAGTAGCTTAAGTTCTAAATCCCACAAAATTAACCAATGCTTATATAATTACGAAAAGATGTTTCAATGAATGAGTGTACAAATGAAGCTGCAGATTCATTTTAACAGTTATGAGCCAATTACAATTATGAAAACTGTAGAAATCTGTAAGAACTCTCACATAAAAGACCACTTAAGATTCAATAATCAAAAATAAATAAATTCAATACTTTCTCTACATCTGAAAAGCACCATTCCCCTTAACAGACCACAAATCCATTAGAAAATATGTATTTTTTTAGAAACAAAAGACAATATTCTTCATTTTTATCAGACAATTTAGAAAATGAAAATTCAAAAAAGATAACTATATTTACTCCCAACTTTCTCTCCCCACTTTTCCACAAATGATAATTCATATAAAAACAAAATGAAAAATTTTCATTCTTTTTTAAGGTGACCCCAGAACAATCCAGAATCAGATATGATAAAGACACAAATATTGTGTTACATGTTCACATTAATGTATACATACTCTTCAGAATGGTTTTAAAACATGCCCCAAAATTCTCTGACCGTCCTATCAAGAGGTGGGATCTTTGATCCTTCACCTTAAATCTGTTGATATACAAATTAGTATCAACTTAAGTGACTCAGTGGAAATAACTCTACAAAGTGTCAAGGCTATGTCAGAAAGAACATGAAGGTTTTGCTTGTTTTTCTTAGAACATTCACTGGAAGAAGTCAGCTGCCATTAAGGGTTTCGACTACCCTGAGATTGCCATGCAAGAGAGGTGACCTGAAGGCATTCCAGTGAGAAACTAAGGTAAGCCTACAGCTGATAGCATCAGTAGCCAGCTATGAGACCCATCTTGCACATCAACTGGGTTGATCAAAACTACATGCCCTCCAATTTAGTAATCTGAGATTTGGGAAAGGGAAGAACTATCCATTTTGGTGGCATAGATGTGTATTTCATTTTCTTACTATATTCCAATTTATTTGTAAGTGCTTCTATACTTTAACCCCTCTCTATGAGAACCATATGTATTAATAAACTCACCAGATGGTTCTCATGTAACCAGTCCTGTATGGACCTTAGCACAGAGTTTAGGAAACATGAAAAATGTGGCTTTGAAATAAAACAAATTTACATTCAAACCACAGCTCAATCACATTCTATCTACTCTCAGACCAGTCAATCTTCTGAATTTGTTTCCCTTAGCAGCAAAATGGAAGCTATTTTACTCTTAGAGATGATATTCATAAAATGTTTAAATACTACGTACTAAGTAAATGGTAACTATGAAATTACTAATCATCATGAGAATTCAGTGGCCAAACCAAGGTAGGCCACATATCAGTAGAACATCATCTGAACTAAAACAAAATGATAATCAGGAATATCAGAAGAGACTTTTAAGTGCCCAATTTTGGCATGGTTTGATCATGGCACAAGTTTGGACTAAAAAGACTAAAAACTCACATTCCCCAAGTTCCCAGGACACCATCAATGCACTAGATCCTACTGTCCAATTCTCTGTTGAATTTTATCAAGCCATTCCTTAATAACATTGTTCATAGTCTTTTGTATTTGGAGTAACCCATTATTTGGGGTCTGGGACTTTTCCTGCGTTTCGCAAAACCCTATAGGACAGCATTTCTTCCCAAAGACTGAAGCTCCTATGTCTATTTAAATAGTAACAGTCAAGGAAAAAATATTCACTTATTTTCTTCTTCCCTTAACCTGTCCTCAGATTGTTATTTTTCAGAGCTGAATGCCTGCCATGCATGCTCTTCAATATTAAAATAGGTTTTAAGTGTAAAGTAACTTGAAGTGCTCAGAATTCTGAGTCAATATATGCCAGTGCCAACAGAGACAGGTGTCTCTTTTTTCTAATCAAATACCTCCTGAGACATGGTGCAATGCTTCTCCTGAAGGAGGTCTGTCAGTTCCTGTAGCCTCATATTCTCTTGCACAAGGAAGGAATTCAGTTCCTGTACTGCTTCGTCTACTATCAGATTATCTGAGGAAGAAGGACTATACTTTAGTTTAGCATCTATAGTGCCAAATTTTAAAAATCATGTATTCCACCAAAGCATTAACCTCACTTCATTTTCTTCGAACTTCAAGAAGCATGCTAGTTTTTAATTATCTTGTGTGACACATGAGGTACCCAGAGGTTAGGTGACTTCATTTTAAAAAACCATCAAATTATAGTCAAGGTCACCTAACCTCATCCCTTGCTATAAAGTCAAAATGCCTTAAGAAATGGAGGTTATGTAGTTTTATTCAGATAAGGTACAATCCCCCAGGAAAGTACATTTTAGAATTGAAGACAAGATCTCTACTCAGTATCAGAATTAATAGCAATATAATTCTATTTTATAAAGCTATCACAAATTCCTATTATTAACTAACACTAACAAGAAAAATTTGTTTGGAGAGATAAGGGGGTTGGGAGCAGAATTTCCATCTTCAAACAAGCATCTATAAAATCGTAGACTCACTCATCATATTCTGGAATACTATGCTAGAGGCACTCTTCAAGTTCAAAAACCAAAATGTACACCATCATTTACAAAGCAGGTATGTAAGTCTTTAAAGCTTATTATACCAGTTCATATGTTCAGATGTCACAACTACAGCTCAAATCCAAACTTTATTCAATGGAACCAGATATTCTCAAGATACACATCATTTTTTACATAGAGATAACAGAGAAAAAACATGTGCTTTCTCATGCCACCTATTGCCATTACTCTTAGAAACAATTTGGAACAAGTTAGTCACATGATATGTTTCCATGGTTTTTAATCTAGGATCCCTGTGGGAAGCCATTCTCGAATGTGATTGGGCACCTCCCTGATTGGGTGTGAGGCGTTCCGGCTAAACTGTGTCAGAACTAATCCCCACCCTTTCCAGGTGCGAGAGCCCATCCGTGTGGGAGTGTAACTGACCATTGACCCTGAGACCAATCACTGACCCTGACCTTGGAATGCTGTCCCCCTCGACCTTCATTGGATGGAATTTTCCCCTGAATTTCTTGTTCCCCAATAAAAGGCCACTCTCTGGCGTGCCCTGCCTCTCTCTCTCCTGCTAGTCTGTGTAAACCTCGCTGCCCCACCGGGTGGCTCCAGGCAGGAGCCAGAGGGGAGAGCCATCTCAGACCTGGTCAAAGAAAAAGGTAAATTGAGTTTGTGTGTTTATTTTGATCTCACTAGTTAACTTCTATGCTACGAACCTCTAGTATGAAGCTAGCGTGCTGGTCACGCGGTTGAGATCGCCCATCAAAATCACTGGCAGAACTTTTAAAATGACATTTCCCTAGGAGGCACCCCATACTACCTACTAAATAAGAATCTCTGTGGGCAGAGCCAAAAAAAAAGAGTGGGATCAGAAAACTAAAGCAGTGAATTAATAAACAAGCCATAAATGTAATCCTTTTGAATCAAGGACTAAACAAAAATGAGGGGAAAATGAATTTCCAAAAAATTAGTTGATACTACAATACAGTTTATATATTTTTGTCTCTTAGAAAGTTCAGCTTCTCAATAGTGATTTCCTTTAGTGTTACAAATAGTTCAGCTATTTATAATTTGTAATGCATTTTTTATTTTTAAACTTAAACTCCATCTTAAACCACATGCCATTAAAAAAATATTTTAAAGTACTGTTTGATACAGTATTCATTTTAGTTCCTTTACAAATCAGCAGTTAATTTACTTGATATCCATTTCTAAAATCAAATCCAACATTAATATAACCTCTGTAAATTACCCACATTATTAAGATTTAACAATACCTTCTAACTTTTCAACTAGAACCAAGGGAGAAAGAAGTAACACACAGCTTGTTTTATAGTAGGTAACAGGGAGGATTCATATCCATTCATTCCCCACTATGTATCCTAATAAAAAACCAGAAATACGCATACTAACAAAAACACTAAAGAAACCTTCGCTGACCGAATTTTCACAAGTCATTTTCATGCTTCTTAATTCTGTTGATCATTTAGCCATAGTATCCTTACAATTTACAGAATAATGTACTTCTTACTTGCCCACCCAAAGGTTCAACTCCACTACATTCAGTTTATTTCTCTCAGAGATAAAAGTTTAAATATCTTAATGATAATCAGGATAGTTAAGTATTACAACTATACAATGATTGTTACTAAAAACATAAAATCAAGGCATTTTATTTGCATTTGAGCAAGTTATTTGTCACAAAGGACTACAGATGTAAACTACCTACACAAACACTTAACTGTAGTATGCAAATATAAATTCCTATATTAACACTGAATAACATGAGCATTCCAAATAGTGATTTAAGTACACACTTCATCATCCATATCCTTTCTATTTTACCTTTTTAAACATAGAAATCATCTCACAACCAACTCAGCCAACTCTTTTTAAAAACATTAAAAACAAAAAACATTAAAACTGACTCTTAAATCAAAATTAATTTTGCTACTTATAAAAGTATCTAATATAAAGTATCAGAATGGGATTTTTCCTCAGTTTGTTGAAGGACTGTGTCTCAAAATGTGAAGCATTCTTAAAATACTAGCATAACATGGTAATGGCATCACCAGTAATGAAGACTAGTATTCCAAAAAATTTAATAAAAAGTAAATATGTAATTTTGCAAACTATAAATCACCATGCAAAGGAGAGTTCTTTTTCTTATCTTTTTTTTCTTTCCCTTTACTGTTTTGGTGCTCAGAATTGAACCCAAAGCCATGCACATGCTAGGCAACTGCTCTACCATCAAGGTATACTGCAGTCCACAAAGGTGACTTAATTCACCTCCCACTACTTCTGGTCTCCAGGATCTTGCCTCACCTCCACTGTTTAGTTTCCGGGATAAGAGCTCCACTTTTTCTTGCAATTTATCATAAACAGTCACAATCTGGGACACAGCTCGCCGGGAGGACTCCACACGCTCCTGCAGCTGAGACTCCATCTCTTCACTGGAACTGCTGGCCAAAGTAGCAAGGAAAGAGAAAGCTGGCTCTTGCCCTTCCCCTGAGGACACAGGGGGAAAATATCAAAATCCATTTTTCCCCTCAAAAGGAGAGCTTCAAAGTAAAGCTCAAATTTGAAAACCAAGATAACATGCAATGATAGAATCAATCATAAATACTCACCTCTCTCTCGGTCATCTTTGCGTTCCTGATTGCTATCAGAGTCAGGTTCTGGTTCCGGCACAACAAGGGCTTTCCTTTCTGTGAGTAGGTCTCCCAAACCCTGCTCCAGATCATAACGTTTAAGGATGATACGGATGTTTTCATCGAACTGGAGAAGCATATGTACAATTATGAAGATAGAAAAAGGCACAACTTTTGAAACGAAGAGTACTAAGAGCTAAAATGTTCAAGCAAATCTGAACAAATAAACAAGTTAGCTACCTGACTCCAGTACCGATTGACAATCAACAGTGAAGCATCATCAGTGGCCTGTCGTCGTTCTAGTTTTTCAATGTGCTCCCGAAGTTCATCTTCGATGGCCTGACGCTGATCGAGCATTTCTGCTAGCTTGCGATTTTTTGTTTGTAGTGTTCGAATGTCTAACTCCTCCTACCCCAGGAAACCAGTATTATTAGTTACCACAAAGAAATCAGACAAATGAGATGTTAAACTCATCAAGTTCACATTAGTTCATTAGTTATTTCTTAGGAATAAAGCTATTCATTATAAAGATATCTTACAATAAATAGATAAGAAGAAAAAGCAAAAAAGATAAAGGAATAGGTGTATGATGACATGAGGAAAGAACAAACACATACACTTTTTTATTATTCCATTCACATCTACCTCCACAAAGTGATGCTACTGTGAGGCTCCACCATCCAGTTAGATCATTCTCTACTTCAATAAACACTGTCTTCTATCCCTTAAGAACCACTCTTCATTCATTCAAGACTTTAGCACCTGCATCCTTCTCTATTCCAGTCCCTGCCAATGTATCTGGCGACTTCAACATACACGTGGACAGACCATCTGATTCTCTAGCATCTAGGCTGTCAGTAGTTTGAACTCCTTCACTCAGTGATTATACCCTCCCCTGTGCTTCAGTCATGAATTCCCAAAACAATCTCACAGACATTATCTAGAACTCTGCTACATCTGAAATCTTAAAATTCCAACTTCCCATTCTCTGAATAAAACCATATTTCTCCATGTATCTCATGTCCTTACACTATTATGCCAGTTCTTTTATCTCATTTAGACCTCCAGAATTTGAATTCTCTTTCTCCTTCTCAATCCCTTTTTGTTTCTACTACCTCCCATATTCTAAGTATACTCTGTAGAACATTCCTTCAAACACCTGGCTACTCTTCTCCTCCATTCTCTGCCTTTCTTTTATTCTACCTCTGTGAACAAACCCCAATCAGAATTAATTCAGACTATTCCATTCCAATAGCCAGTTTCCTAAGACTTCCGGATGAAGTCATTAAACCAGGGAGACTGGTGACTTTATAAAATGAATTCCTAACCTGAAAAGATCTTATAATTTGTGAAGAAAAATTTCTTTAACAGATGAGCTCCCATTCTACAATCAAAGCAACAGAAAACTCTTTATCAAATGCTACCCTCTTTCATATCACACTAAACACATGGATTTATCTCCTTTTTCTAATAAAAAAAAATATATCAGCCATCAGCTCTGAAACTCCTGAATTCTTCACTTCTATAACTCATCACACAACTCACTAACCAAAGCACACATTCTTAAAACCTCTATTTGTGCTCAGGATCCCTTCTCTTCTGTTGGCGCAAAAATCTCACCCCATTTGTAATTCCACACCCCTCTCAATACTTTTAACCTCTCTCTAGTTCCTGCCCTAAGTCAGGTTGGGGAGGGGACACAAAGTTTGGAATATCACAGTCCAAGAAATAGTATGTGGAAATGCTTACATTCTTTCTTTCAACTAGGAATAACTAGGATGAATATTTTAAAGCAAGAATTGCTTATTAGAGCACCAATTTCTTGTTCTACTTTTCTCTTTTCATTTAGTTAAAACATTCTTGACATGTCAAAGCAGACAATAGTTTCCCCACTGCTTATTAATACTATTAATAGTATTAATAAACTGTATCTTTAGCCTCTTCTCTGAACATCATCTTCCCCCTCTTGTCACTGAAACCTAGATGAGAACACCGTTTCCCTGAAGGCTTCTCCAGTTGTGGCTGTTTCCCTCTGGAGGCTTGGAGGCAGGTGATACCTTGTTTTCCATTGCGATTCCCAAGCCATTAACCCATCTGCCTCCATAAAACATAGCTTTGCAGCTTATGCCACTGTTCTTTACCACTTGCCACTGGCTATGGTTGAACTGATCTATAAATGCCCAAGTCATGTCCCCATATTTCTCGAAGATTTAGCATCTAGCTTATTATCTCTCACTTTCTACACAACTACTCCTGACATAATTCCTAATCAGTTCAATTCCCATATAGATGATCTTTCTGGATATCAAGTCACTGGTCTCTCTGCGATCAGCTCCCCTAGTTATTCTCAGTTTTAGCTGTACCTGCAGGTTCTCAATGAGCTCACTCTTCAGAAATAGTACCTATTTTTTCCAGCTCACTCCAATTTCCTAACTCCAACAATTCTTCAACCTCACTAGAATCTACAATCCATATGCCTTTCCCAATCCTTTGTTACTCTCACTTCCTCACCTCCTTTTTTTTTTTTAATCAGACTTAAATCTCATGATCAGTCATTTGCCTTTTAGAAACCTTCTATCTTTCCTTGCTACTTCATCACATTTCTCTGGTAAAAACTCCAATCCTGGTAACAACCTATTTTCCACATACACTAAGCCTAGCCATGCAGCTGAAAGTGACTAGGAAAAAAAAAATAACGAATACCATGCTGATGACTGGTTTCACTCTAAGCTCATGTTCACAAATTCAAGTGGGCCCCAGTGCTGCCCAACAACTCAACTACACCTCCCTGGTCCATTCTCTTTTCAAGATGACTACTTCATACCTTCTCCTGTCTCTTCCTCCCCCATCCTCACTCTCAGATGAGTCTTGCTTTTGATTTCACTGAAAAAAAATAGAAGCAATCAGAAGAGGACACCCATACCTCCCTCCCACAACCACAGCTGCCAACCTATTTATATCCAAACCCATATCCCCTGCCTTCTTTCTTGCCATCCCTGTTCCTAGTCAAGGCCATTTCCTCCATATGCATATTCCATTCCATTCCATTCCCTCTCACCTTCTCAAGGACCATCATACCTGTAACTTGTCTCCTCTTTCTGCTATATCATCAATTTCATCCTTTCTACCAAATAATTTTGTCTATAGATAAACATGCTACAGTATAACAAATCTTAAAAAACAAACAAAAACTTTTCCTTGATCCCATTTCCCATTTCTCTCTGGCTACTGCCCTTATTTTATTTGTCCTATTTTATAATAATGCTCCTTCAAAACACTGTCTCCCCCTCATTTCCCTAGTGCCTCTCCTCTATATTTTCTTAATCACACTGCAATCCATCCCCACTGCTGCACCTACATAGGTCTTTTGAGTCTCCAATGAACGATTACTATATATAATATCACAATCCTTCCCCTTACTCAACCTATCAGCAACACCTGATTAACTCTTTGAAACATAGGACCCCACTCTTTACTTGTTTCCCTTACAACTCATTTTATTGGTTCCCTTTTTTCTTTTTTTGTCTCTTTAATTAATTCCTCTCATCTCCTTGAAGCAAACATGTCACAGTACACCAAGATCCTGACCTTAGACCTGTTCAATATGTAAGCTTATTGCTTGAGAGTCTCTAATCTCATTTAAGTACCATTTCCAAAATGGTGATTCCCAAATATACAGCCTTAACCCAGTTAGCCCAGACCTCTCTCCAGAATCCAGGTTACTATATCCAACTACCAATCTACTTAGTGATCTAACTGCCTCTACTAAATGTTTAAAACTAAACCAAACTCATGATTCCCAAAAACCTATTCTTCTCATATCCCTACTTAGCTAAATAAGAGAAATCTTCATTACTTCCAAAAGCCTATGGGATATTCCCTTCTAGCTCTCATATGCCTCATCCACTCCACTAGCATATCTTGTCAATGCTACTTCCATGGTGGTCCACACCATGTTCCCTTGTTAGAATTCCAGTACAGGCTTCCTGTAGCAAATACTTCTGTTCCATGTTTTGTCAGCATGCCAGATTTCAGCACAGATATGGTGGAAAAGTCAACTCATACTGCTAGTAGTCCCACTTTAAGCATACTTTGCAGTCATAGTTTTTTCTATTCCACAATCTCAGCTAGCTCACTATAGCAACTTTGAAATACACACAGGAAGAGCCATTGCTTTCAATAGGAACCTTCAACTAATGGGCAGGAGCCAATGGATGCATGCCTCAGATCCCCACCTTTGGAGAGGTTTAGCTATCAGGTGTGGCAGATGGAGGATGAGAAGGAGCAAGGGAATAATTCTACTAATTGAATTCTTATTGTAACCCTTGTTCCCCTCCAAACATAGGTCAGAGCATGTTACTTCCCTATTTAAGAACTTCCAGGAGGGCGTGGTATTGCATGCCTATAAGCCCAGTGACTTGGGAGGCCAAGGCAGGAATATCACAAATTCAAGATCAGACTCAATAACTTAGCAAGGCCCTAAGCAATTTAGCAAGACCCTCCTGTCTCAAAATAAAAAGGACTGGGGATTTACCTCAGTGGTAAAGCACCTCTGTGTTCAATCCCCAGAAATGAAAAAAAAAAAAAAAAAAAAAAGACCTTCCAATGGCTCTTAACTGCCCTCTGGATAAACTCCAAACTGGATATGTGCTGGGCTTCCCTTAGAGCATGTGCTTATTTCTATCAATGGCATACATCACACTCCATTTTAACAGTTTATTCCCATGTAAAGGACTTCAGTCTAGGGGCTATCCTCAATGTAAAGCACACTATCCAGCCAATAAGATGCTCAATGTATACTTACATTTGAATATTTCAATACATGCCTTTGAGTAAATATGTTTGGAGTGCATGGTGTGAGGCATTGTTTAGAAAGAATCATCTCCTGACAGCAGTATGCGCTACTTTAACCCCAGAGAGCTCCAGAGATGACACCTCATCAACAATTTACTACAAATGTTCTTTTTTTTTTTTTTTTTTTTGGACTCTGTAAAGAATCAACCTCTCACGACCTCAGCCTTAAAAATAAGTAATGGAGGGCACCTTAACATCATATCTCCTGGTTGAGTTCCAAAATACAGAATCTTGATCTAGTTCAAAACTTTTAAGTTCTTATCTGTTAAGATATATAATATTACTGAGTTTTTGGTGTACACACTCCAATGAAACTGTCATTGCCACAAGAGCAAGAAAAGTACCAATTTTACTCCCCATTATATTATCTAGTACAACAATAGTCGTAAATAGCTCACTTTCAGGTATACTTACTATGTTGAAGGCAATGTTGTAACACTTAACAAAGACTCTCATTACAACCTAACATGACAAGTACTGTAAATTCATTTCACAAAGAAACAGAGGCAAAGGAAGGATAACATAAGGCCATGCAGCTAGAAAGTAGTGCAGCTGAGAATAAACCTCAGTCAACTTGGCTTCAGACTCTCACTTTTCACCACACTCACTTGTTTTACTACACTATCTTTTAGAACTTGGCACGAAATTTTCCTGTGCTTAAAAAATGAATATTTATATTCCCACTGCTAAATAACTTTAACCAATGCTATGTCAAGCATCAGAGTCTCAAAAGAACATAAACACATCTTGAAAACAAACACAAATGTCAGTGTACCTCTCTTCTAGAACTGACCACCATATCATTTCACCCACTTCACCTCTTTTATTTCCCTCTTCTTTTCAAATGGCTTTTCCTTTTTCCAAAAGGCTTCCATAAATTTTTTTGTTCCAGGTTGCAACCAACATTAGAAAAGCATATTTTCATAGCATTGTTTTGCCATACCGTTGAAGAGACACCCCCTAGCTTAATTGTTTCCACGGTGGTCCCTGAATCTTCAACAGCTGCCTTCTTCTCTGGAGGCATGGATGTGCCTGGCTCACCAGCTGCTCTTTTATTTCCGATTCCTGACATCTTGGCATAAGATGATAGCCGTTTTTCTGGAGGGAAAAAAAGAGCAGAAACTGAAATAAGATAATGCAAGGAGAATAACAATAAAGAAAGACCATGCATGATGTAAAAACTTACGTGTCACCCTAGATCTATTAATTAATTACACACAAAGCAACAACACCTCCAAATTCCTTTTAAGAAAGAAAAAAATAACACATGGAGGAAGAATTGACATTATAGGTTTCTAAATAAGATGTTAATAAGATATAAGACAATGGGCAAAGAGTGAAGAGACTACAAATAAATTTCAACAATCACACTTCCTGAAATGCCAGAACCAGAAATGTGGAGTTTGATGATGACAGAAGTTAGTTCCATACTGTTTAGAATCAGAGAGCTGAAAGAGATCTGGGAAATGGCTACTAAGTCATTAATAATGGACAAGTCAGTAATCATCTCTGAACCTCAGTTTCCTAAGCCAGAAATAACCACACGTACTGCCCACGCCTATTATAAGGAATAAGTGATGCGATCACAAAGAGAAATAATGCTGAACACAAACCTCTCACTCAAAAACTCCAGCTCTTCCTGTAATATTTGCAGTTTTCCCCCTATTTCCAAATAAGGAAATTAGACCCGGTACGAATTCCAGTTCTTCCTCTTGGGGAACCGTGTTTTGCCTTAAAAAGCTTGAGTTCACCAAAAGGTGCCAGTTGGTTTCCTCACCTGTACAACCGACACACACATTTTTCATCTGCCCTACCTTATTTCCAGAGTTTCGGAGCTCAAAGGAGGCGGAAGGGACGCTAAGGCACTTTCGCTACTTCAGGAAGCAACCCTGCCATCACCGAGACTACAGACTGCTTTCCTTCCAATTCGAGCTCAGGAGAGGGGTATCGGTGGCAGCAAACTGAGTCGGGCCTCGCCTGGAAAGAGGAGGCAGCAGGGCAAGGGCGGCTATTGCAGGGGGCCCAGGACCCAACGCTAACTGTAGGCCCGAAGACCAAGAGGGCGGAGTTTCGCCAAGGCACACAGCAGAGACCTAAGCCGGCTTCTTAAACTCGCGCCACAGGGAACACACCTCGGGGCAGTTATTCACCTAGGCCCGCGCAGGCCGCCCATCCCTCACCTCTGACCCGCGCCGAAGAAGAAACCAGCTTCCGGCAGGAGGGGTCAGGAAGAGGAAGAAGGGAAAAAAAAGAGGAAGTTGCTTCAACCGGGTGAGCTCCAGCGGGAGGAAGTGACGCGTGAGGGTGCCTGGCGACCTGCGTAAGCACCGCCTCCTAGGAACAAGAGCCCCTAGAAGCTAAGACCTCCCGAGATACGCAGGCCTCCTTAGCGCGCCGGGAGCCCTTGACTTTTGTTGTCTTGTTGGCCTTGCTTTTCTGCTGAGATAAAGTATCTTGTTCTATTGCCAATTTTTTCCCGAAACTCGTTCCGCCTGCCGATTGGCTAATGGTCCTGTCAATCTCCGGGCAGAGGAGCAGTAGCCTGAGACACCTTTGGAAAACGTGTGTCAGAAGCTTTTGACATTGCTGAAATTAAGCCTTCTGGGGAAAATCTAAAGGATTTGATGGATTAGGGTCTTGTAGATTTTTATTACGGGAAACTATTCAGTGTTGCCTACACATAAGAATCACCTGGGGAATTTTGGCTGTCATCCCATCCCATCATACCCTCTAGATTCTAACGTGTTGACAGCTCTTGTACTTTTGGGGGACAAGAAATTGACCAGGAGAAGGATAAGCGCATCTCAATGAATAGTCTCTGACCTCAATATTAGTCTCTTAAGCTAATTAGCATTGATTTTTTTTTCTTTTTTAGTTAATGATACACTGCTATTTTCCATTCAGTTAAACTAAATGTCTTAATGATAGGAAGGTAATCAATCTAACCTATCAATAAAACGTTGTATGCCTCCAAAAACTCTGAAAAAGTACCCAATGACATTAAATAAGAGTCCAGAAATGGAAGAATGATTGCTGTACCTTTTTTAAAAATATAAATGTTGTCATGTTTGGAGAAAAGCAAACGTATTTCACGCTGGATTTCTGTGTAAGTACTGCGAGCTAATGGACTGCTGCACTGGAGTATCCACGCTTCCACGCTGAATTTCTGGTAGTTTGAAGACATTTTGGTAAGACACGGCATCTGAGAGGTCTTACCTGTGCATGAAGTGAAAAAAGCAGAAAACACGTTTTTGTGGTGTTTGATACCAGAATACCTTGCCTAGCCTAGAAAAACTTAATTGTAGCTATAAATGGAGTTACATTTCCTTTGGTGAAGCAGAAGCCTGAGAATTGTATTTGAGCCATCTATTGAAAAGTACTGTATAAGATAATGACACTCATTTTGATCACTCTCCTTTGGCTCTTCTACTCTTGGCAAGCCTTGCAAATCCACAGGACTACTAAATGGCTATCAATGATGCTTCTAACCTGGAGTTTACAAACTGGAAGTTCACAGAGTATATTTGGCCAACAGATATACTTTAAACAGTATTAACTATTCCTATGATTAAAAACAAGAACAAAAACTGACGTAGTTGTTGACATTTAAAATATAGTTATTTTACATAAAAATCCAGATTATCAACTTCTCTTGCAGCTGCTGAAAATCTACTAACACAAAGGTTATGTTTTTGCATGGTCACATTACTTACAGCAAAATAGAAGCTCCCTTTATTAACTGGTTCTTGTTTCTGTTTGCCATAATCTCTACTATTCCTAATCAGTTCTCTGGTACTAGTTGTGTTTCATTTGCGTATCATCACCTCTGTGTTGTGATAAATCCATCACTGATAATAGGTAAGTGTTCAGTAGGCATTATTGGTTGCCTACTCAGCATCTATTTCCCATCTCTCACCTTCTGGTTCAGAACAGAACCAGGATTTTACTCAAGTATCTGCCTATCTTCCTTGATTCTGTATGACTCAGAGGAAGTTCCAAAGATTGTTTTAATATAAATAGTATGTTTATATATTATATAGCATATATGTGTTACATATTTTGTATTTAATGTATAATAAATTTATGTAATGTATAAATATATTACACTTATGCAATATATGATATATATCATATAAAACATGATAATATGTTTATCAATAATAAGTTTCATCCCCAAGCCCTAGTCTCAGTAGTAGGCTGATTTGTAGTAAAAATTCTTTAGAATACTAGAACTAAACTGTTTTGTTTTCTTTGGTTTTTGTGTAAATCCTGAAACTTTGGAGGTTTCTTATTATGATTCTTAAGAATGAAGTCAACACAAAAAAGTAGGCAGAACCAAGAAAATGGAACAAGATCTACAAATTAAGTCACCCCTAACTTTTTTTAAAAAATTATTTTTAGATGTTGATGGACCTTTATTTATTTATTTGTGGTGCTGAGAATCGAACCCAGCGCCTCACACATGCCAGGCAAGTGCACTACCACTAAGCCACAACCCCAATAAGTCACCCCTAACTTGAACTCAAAATACAAAGAGAGTACTAGAGAAGATACTGAGAAGAATCCAAATCTTTGTAGAAACATTTAATTCTTGAGCTACTAGTGAGATTATCATTTCCAAAAGTCCCAGTCATTCATCTGACATCTTGATAGGCCTCAGGATTCTCTAGAGAACAAAACTGATGGTGTGTGTGTGTGTGTGTGTGTGTGTGTGTAAAATTGGCTCAAGAGACTGTGGTGGTTTCATAAATCCAAATTTTGCAGGGTAGGTTGGCAGACTGAAGGCTTGGTAACAATTGCAGTTGGAATCTAAAGGCAGTCTGCTAACAGAATTACTTTTTGTTTTTGGAGGAAAGGATGTCAGTCTTTGTTCTATTAAATCCTTCAAGTGATTCAATAAGGCCTAGCCACATTGTAGAGGGTTATCTTCTTTAGAAAACCAATTTAAATGTTAATTTTATCCAAAGAACACCTTCACAGAAACATCCAGAATAATGTTTAATCTTAGCCTAGCCAAGTTTGACATGTAAAATTAACTATAGAGTTAGGTAGGTAACTAACTATTCTCCAGCTACTGATGAGATTTATCTCTTTTGAAAGCTTCACTCACCTATATAATAGCCTTGCAGTAGCTTAAGTTTACCTGACCCTAAAAAATTGAGAAAATAGAATAGATAAAGGGGAGAATAGCAGAGACCTCTCTCATTGACTACATTCCCCATTTGTGGCCAGCAACTACCTGTACATAAACTTAATCAAGAGAATGATGAATAACCCTGGAAAAATAAGTTTCACCCTCACTCATAAATGGGAGAACAGCATTAGCAATGGTAATATAATGCTTGACTTTACTTTTATTTTAAAGCTTTCATTGTTAATCTGAAAATTTAAGTAAAATTGTAATAATCTTTTTTTTTTTTTTTTTGAGAAAGTAGACTGCAATTTCAAGCTACTTAACGATTATTTGTTAAAGGACTCAAGTTGTTCGACTTCCAGCCTATCTTTATTAATTGCATGATTCTGCCACAAGGTGGCAGGAGGCAACATGTCTCCTTCCCCAGTTCCTCTTCTAAAGCTTTGGTTGCATGGTACTGTCTTACTCATCAGTTGTGCCTTAACTCTTAGAAACCTGGTCAGCTACTTAGGGTAACATTAATGCTCTCATAAATTAAGATAATTTGAGAATTTTGTTTGCCTCTATGCTTCATGCAAATGTTTTGCCGTAAGATTATTGTTCTGTCTCCATACATTCTGCATATTCCATGAATTCTGGACTGGGTTATTTGTGTGCTACATATAGTTCCAGAAGTCCCTTATTTTTATTTTTAGGCATGATGTATTTTGCCTACCATGACATCACTTGTTACACAGAAATATACAGATTCTGTAGCCCTGCTCCAGACCGTGAATTAGAATCTTCAAGGGCAAGCTCTCCAGAAATACATGTTCTTACTTTTATGTTTCCTGTCTGGGCACATTTAAGCAACACTGTTGTAGGTGATAGTATCAACATCTACCTAAAAGGGTTCTATATACACCAGCCCCTTCTTTTTGTCCTCAGGCCTCTCCTATCTTGTAGCCATAAACCACTACTACACCTTTTTCTTTCATCTCCATCCTTCTGCCTCCCTCTTCACAGATCTTCTGGTCCACTATGCTACACCATGCTCAGCCCTCTTCCTGTGTGATTTCTGGAGACTAGAGAGCTAGATCCATGCCACCTATTCTGAGCAAATGAGAAATTGAAGTCCTGTCAGGATCTATGGAAGCTGGTAGTCACAAATTGTCAAAGGAGCCCACTTCATTTAATGTTCTCCTAAAAATATGAGGGGTGTCTATATTATACTCATAGACTTGGTCCCTTATGGTCTTATGCCATGTGACATTCTATATTTGGGTTTCTATCATCTTTATCATTTTGATTTTCATTATGAATTTGTTCTGGCTATGACTTCTTCATTAAAGAATGAGAATTTTGGAAAATAGAAGCCATGTTGTCTTTGCAAATTCTGACTGGTAGATCCACTCTTCAATATGGCTACTACTGGGAAGTCGGCAATCCATCTGGCCTTGGAGGAGAAAGACCAGCATCATGAAATGCTTACATGTACAGCCTTGGGGTGGTGAGTATGGAGCATAATTACAAAGGTAATATTTTATATTTCCATTTCCAACAGTGTGGCATGACCATCTTTCAGAACAGAAACTAAATCTTTTGAAAATTCAGATTGGACTTCAGCATAAGGGCATTTTTCAAACTACATAAAAGAGATTTAGGTTTTTCAAGACCTTAAAGGGTGAGGGAAGATGTAGACAAATCCCAGGGGCTAACAAAGTTGAATACATATTGGAGACCCCTTCCCATACAAGTAAAGTAGAAATAACTACTCACAACGTTAAGGGAACTGAAAGCAAATTATCTCAAATTTTGATATACAGATTTTGGCTGACTGATCTGGAACTCCAGAAGGCACTTAGAACAGGTTTCCGGGACTTTGGAGAGTAACAGACGTACAGATTCTATAGGAAGAGCCCATGGTATCATTTTTATTTTTTAAAAGTTAAAGAATGCAATAATTATTATCCCAACTTTGGCTAATTGTGCTTATTTAGCTCAACTCATCTGAGTCCATATTTGAGACAATAGTAACTGATTAGGTTCCCAGGTACCCTCTCACTTATTCTTAG